AGTTGAACAATCAAAACATTTATAAGTGGATGTTTGTTACATGTCTTAAAATCCATTGCAGTTCTGTCCATTTTCCATTTTTATATACAACACGTCTCTGCAGGCACTGCACAAAAAAACCCATCAACACAATCCAACACCCCCTTACAGATCTGTGAGAAAAACTTGTACAGATTAAAGACACTGGGGATTCAAATTTAACTTTGTCTGCACATTTAAGCCAGATAAAACTCATAAATGACTGAACAAATTACATGAACACAGATTAATGGAACATTCATGATTTTTTTGACTTCAGAAGAAAATCTTGGTACCTGAAGAGGAACAGGGAGGAACATGCTAACATGCTAACTCTAGGATTTGAACCTCAAACCTTCTTATTCCCTTCATGTTTGCATGTGTACAAACAGGTACTCAGACATTAACACTGAACAATATTACTTTCTGATTTAATTGGTTCCATTTGTTGATTTTTTTTTCATCTCCATATAGTACAGCAACAGTGAGAACAACACAATTAATACTAAAACAATCAGAAACCCAAGGATCACAACCCTACGCAGAGAGTTAGTTCCACTTTGTGGAAAATACGATTGCATTTGATATACTGCATTAGTGTTCTGAGAACAGGTTAGTAACCCTGACACACTTTCATGGAAGAGAACATGAACTTCTAAGTCAATGTTTGGATAGACGTCTGACCAGCTCCTCCCAGCGGTGGAGTAGTCTGGATCTCGGGTGTGATGCATCAGTACCAGGATGACTTTTTTATTGACTGTTCAAAGACAGAAAAGAAAATAAGTCTACTTCAGTCTGTATCAACACACCGTGATGTTTCAGTACAAATATTTCACAGTACAAATTAACAGATTACTACCACAGATACAAAAATTAAAAAAATTAACCTCAAACATCTTTTTATCAACAGAAAACTTGTTGGACTTTTTCAAAACTTGTTGAACAAGTCCAACAAGTTTAAAATTGGCACACACAAGTTGGGCAGATTTTAGGAATACAATTCACCTTCATTCAATATGTGCCTAACTGTGGTTTTGCCTAATTTTGCATAAACTATATTTGGTTGTATTGCAGCAGTTACTGGGAGTGGACTGTTTATATATCCCAGGATGCTTAGCGGCATGTGTTTGTGTGCTGGAATACAACATGGATGAGATGGAAGTCTGATATTTGTCTCTTATGTGTTACTAAAGCAAATATTGACTTTCAAGGAGCATGTCGGTTTGCAATGTGTGAAGACAATATGTTCTCACATTGCTTCATCTCTTTTCAAAATAAATGTTTCTCAGCAAAATTCAGCATAGTGTTTTATAAAATCCATTATCAGATCAATTATTTTGATCATGTAAGTTGAACCAAGAATTAAAATTCCATGAACTTAAAATGATTCAACTAATGTAAGTGAAAATGATCCAAAAATGTGTTTGTTCAACTAGGTGATGGTAGTTTTCTTGCATTTATGGTGTGAAATAACGGTTTTAAATTATTAATCAACTTGAATTTTAATCTGACTTGAATTGAAAACATGTTTCCAGCTGAATTTATTTTAATTTTTAAGGCAGCAAGTGAACTTTCATTTTCAAGTTATGCCACTTTAAAATGTTTTACAGTGATGTAAAACACCATATTTCCACACTTATATCTTTGTTATAAGTATTGCTACAATTTATTAGATTAACTTGGTGGAAAAGAAACATTTGTGATTTTTTTCAAAATGCATAACATTTTCTACCATGAGGTTTGGATAATCACTCGGCTCAAATAAATAAATCAAACCGCCTCAGATTAGGTCGAACTGCCTTATGAGAATATGGATATTTTTAATGAATAAGAACCTAAGAAAGAAAATAAATGGCTTCAATAAGTCAAAATTATTTATGTTTATGTCAATATTTGACCTTAATGTTAAGTCTCTGTCTCACCCCAAACTTACACTCCTTTCCGCATTGGAAAGGAGTGTAGATCAATTGATCAATGCAGATCAATTGATCTATTGAGCTCTATTAGCTTACTTATATGCTCATGTGATTTCTTAATACAACAGGCCAGGCGTGATGAGTAAAACTGAACTTCACTGTAAAGAAATTTTGGTTAATTTGCAATTTTACATGTAAGGTACATACTTTTTCCTTATGGGTTCAGGTTAGTTTAGCTTTTTTCCCATTTATAAATAAAACCACCATTTAACATTTGCTTTTTTGCATCAACTAAGAGTGGCTTTATCTGATTTATAATTTAGTTTTGCAGCAAATCAAAAGGAAAGATTTTATCTGATTACTTACATGGGATGTCTTCCATGGCTGCCCCCACATCTGATCCAACACGGGAGGTGATGGGGCAGAAAACAATAAGGTACTCTCCATTCAGGTTTGTGCCCTCCAGCCTGACCTTTCTTCTCACTTGGTCCATCAGCTCTGCATCGGCGCCATAGGTTACCCCTGTGGTGATTGTCTCGACTTTAACTGGTCCTGTTGAGCAAATTGTAAAGCGGAAAAAAAACATGAAGGGAGCAAGGAACATCAGAGCACGATCCCTATTTGCATAACTTGGGATGATGACTTACTTGAAAGATAGGGCATCTTCTGGCTCTTTCAGAAACAAACACAAAGAACAACATAAGAATATCCAAACATTCACCAGTTATTTCTTTAAATAAGTTTTTCAATAAATTAGAAAATTATCAAAAAAATAATACCTTACAAATTCTCTATTTTCATTGGGTCCAGATTCTACTTACCAAACAAGCAGACATTGGTCATAAATCTATTATGCTTACGATTGGCATTGTAGATAGGTCCCAAGTTGAGTTTTTTTGGGTTTTTTTTCAGATTTTTCTTCCATTCAACTTTCCATCGTTGTGCTTGGATAAGCACACATATGAATGCTTATTTCACAATGATAACAGTGACTTAGCCTTCATTTGCAAAGTGTCTACCAATTTCTCAATTCATCAGTCTTCCAAATTATTAGGTCATATTCTTTCTGTGTTCAAGATGCCTTTTATATGAGTTCCATAAAATACTCTAATAGTCGACAAATAGAATATTCTACAAAATACTCTATTGTAGACAATTTGAATGTTGTCTACAATAAACTACAATCATTATTAGAATGATGATTATGATTTGAATAAACAACAATAATCAAAATGAGCAGAAATATATATTTGAAATTTAATGTGTGTGAGATATATCCATAAGTTTCAGTTTTTTAAATGATTTATTTAAAAACATTTTGGCTAAATTTTTTGAAATGATTTAAGAAAAAACTAAATTAGCAATTATTGAGATACCTCTGTGCAAAACGTTGTGTTTACTAAAAAGATCTAGGTAACCGGACATGGATTAACGAACTGTTTGTGGAGCTGCGGTCCAGAAACGGACAACATCCGGCGCACCTTTCATGCAAGAGCTGTGAAAAACAACCGTCTACCTCCCACTTCCCTCTACTCCCTAGAAGAAGGGATGTCAGAAGTTATCAAGATGAAGTTGAAGTCCCCTTTATTAGTTGAAGCTGTTTTTGTTTTATATCACCGAATGTTCACTAACAACAACCAAATAAGTTTGATTCTTACCTTCTCTGTGCTGCTGGTTTCGCTGTACTGCTGCTGGGAGTGACACGCAGTTTGCACCAATGACTTTCACTTTCACTTTCAGATAAGTATGGAAGCCCCGCCTTATAAAAATCTCATCTCATATTGTATCTCATAGTTTTGACTTAGCTGAGACAGTATTTCATAATTATGAGATATAATAATAATAATAATAATAATAATAATAATAATAATAATAATAATAATAATAATAATAATAATAATAAGAAGAAGAAGAATATTAATTAATATAAAATTATTATAATTATAATATACTATATCTTGTATCATACTATAATATAATAATGACTTCATTATAATGAGTTATTATTATGAAAATGCATGTTTTTAATCAGTGCTAGAAATGTGCTTGTAGTCTCAGGATTTATAAGAACCCCAATCAAAAACCTCTTAGGTTTTACTGCTAAACAGGCTAAAAGGTAAATTTGTTAATTTATTAATTCATTTTGAACATGAAAGAAGTGCAAAATCATACACATAAACAAGAAATACAAAAGACACATATTTTTGTTCCACAATAATCTTAACATACAAAATGTTACATGATGTGGTATAAACAATAAACTTATGGATTTTGTTTTTTTGTTCTTGTAATTAGTTGGTAATCCTGAGTGTTTATTATTATTATATTAAATTGTTGTTGTGTCTTTGATTATGTTGTAATGTTTTTCAATTTGTAGATGGTTTAATGATTTGTTGAACTTCAGGGCCACCGTATTATCCTATTTAGTTGCATGTCTTTGAAATTGAGCATAAAATAATTAAGAACTGCACAGCATTCTTTTCTTATGCCGTAAATCTAATCTTATGATTACTTTTTTATTTTTGTATTTTTAATTTTGTGTGAACCCAAAATGCTTGTCTTTCCTTCATTTTGCTACCTTTACCTAAGTTTCTCAATTGAAGCATAATAAAGTTTATTTCTATTCAATTCCAATTTGCCACTTAAATTTTAAGGTCAAAATTGATAGACGTTTAGAACTACTTCTGATTTTATCCACTTTGACAACAGGTTTAGTTCCATCTGAAGAAAACAAACTGTAGAGATGATGATGCTGCCTCCATTTACCTGTGGATATGGTGTTATGTTGGTGATGGGTTAACTTTTCAGACTGTAGCTCAAAGTGGAAGTTTGGTTCCTCAACACAATTTCTCACAAGGTTTTGGGTAAATTTAATCAAGCCTTGGTGTTTTCTCTTATTCGTTCATCATTCATTCATTTTATTAGATCTCTTTTGCATCGACTGAGTACTGCAGCACACAAAAGGGATAAACATAAATGTGTGTTATGTCTGTGACATTATCACACCAAAGCTCATAGTCTGCTATTATTCTTTCAAACTTTATTGATCATTTTCAAAGGAAAGAGTTTCCAAACATCATGTTGCAATAGTTATAGGCAGAGGTTTAATTCAAAGCTACAACATGCATCAAAAGAGTCACAAGAATTCATTTATTCAAAGTGTCTATTTGACCTTCAGTAAATAGAAAGTAAGAGATTTTTATTTCAATGTAATGTCATAATAAATGCCTTTGGAGCCTATGATACAAGTCAGATAAGTATCTGTGACTACAAATATCGGAACTCTGGCTGAGCTGTTCTCTAGTTTCTGCACATAACTGTGTCTGTGTTCATATGGGTAATTTTGTAATGACTGTTTGTGTGTAAGAGACATTAAACAACTTGTATATAAACATACAAGTTGTAGAGTTAATAATGATATTAAGAAAGTCTGTCTTTAATAACTTTTCTTACATAGAAGAGCAAAACTGAAATCAAATGAGAAAGCTGAGTACCAAACCAAATTACAAGGCTCACCCAAAGCCTGTCTGAATGCCAGAACCAGTTCCAGAGCCTCATCCAAAACCTTTCATCAGACAAGACCCAAGAAAAAACACAACACAATAGCCAGTAGCAAAACCCAATCAAAGCCCCACTCTGATCTGAATTCTTTTTGTGTTCTTCTAAAAAATGTCTTATTTCCGACACTGCCTTGTGATTTTGTGCACAGCTCAGTAATCCTGGGACACTTTCGTGGAAGAGAACATGAACATCCAGGACAACGTTTTCAATGTATTCTGACCACTTTATCCCAGCTGTTGAATAGTCAGCATCTCGGGTGTGGTGCATCAAAACCAGGATGATTCTTCGACCATCTGTTGAAAAATAGGATAGAGACGTGAGATGTAGGCAGAACTGGACATCCCAACAGGAGGACAAGGTTAACCTTCTGACCTGAGAAATAATTCCTTATTTAATGTTTCTTGATTCTACTGGCAGAACAGGACAAATATATCACCATTTAGAATTTTGAACAAGTGATGTGCTTACTTGCCACATTTTGAGAACTGATAAACAACAAAAGCATTTCTTTATAGTTTAATCCACAAAGAAACAACCAAATGTTAACATTCTGATTCCTTACATGGGACTTTTTCCAAGGCTGCCTGCACATCTGAGCCAACACGAGATGTGATTGGACAGAAAAGGATGATGTGTTGTGCATCTCGACTTGTATCCTTTTGGATGACTTGGTTCATCAGATCCACATCTGCTCCAAAGGTTTCCCCTGTACTGATTGTCTGAACTTTAGCTGGTGGGGGAAGCAAACAAAAAGGTTATGACACTACAACTCTACACTTCATATCGGCTGACATATTCACTCACCTGCAGGATTCCTCATGTTTTGGTTACCTAACAGCAAGAAACACAAAGTAAGATACAATCTTCCTCATGATTGTGTTGCATACGGACCTGGACTGGGAGGCCGATATGGCCAACAAAATGTGATATTAACCCCAATGTTGCAGCAACTAAGTGGTACAGAGTATTATTGTGACATACTAGTAGCAATGACATGATGAGACAATCTCAGGACAGAGATTAAGAAACATGTTGGTGATGGACAAAGAGAGGTTCACTCACAACAGGAAAAAGAGGAATTAACCTTTGTTCCATCAAAGTGCAGTCTAAGGCTGAACTGCATTTTCCTCCCACATTTTTTTCATGACAAATGTATTTTTATTTCAAGGTCATTCATTCATTTCATTGCAGGATTTCTTCCCCTTTCCTCTGTGGAATACTGCCTACACCTTCCTCTTCATTCAAAAGGGGGGAGGAGACCTTTTGCAATCATAACCCAAATCTCTAATAAATCCTGAACAGAGAAAAGGTTTTTTATGTTTGGTTGTCATTTTAAACCCAACACCATATATCTAAACCTATCAGGAGTATAAATAATTTCGGGCGTAACCGTATACCAGTAGCCATTATATAAGGAATCTTGCACCTTATCTGTTCTTTGTCAGTTCAAACATCATTCAGATTAGTGTGCAAAGCTAACAATTATATATTCACTTAAAAAGAGAACGCTAGATAGTCTTCAATTCATTGATTATATACAATGTTTTACATGTGAGTATAAAAACAAATATTTGATTCCCTTATCAGCCGTCACATGAAGTTTCAAGTAAAGCAAAAAGTTTTTCAAATCTTACCTCTGCTGTGTTTCTGCTGCTGTCGAGTTAAACACTAACTGAGTCTGCTGAAAGAACAAACAGGTCAGAGAGATTTTCTGACTTTTACTTTCTGTTCTGAGAAGTTCTGCAATTTATAAGAAACCCACTAGTTGTTATCAAAAGGATGACTGTTGATAACAGACTGATTGCAGTGCAATTTTGTACAACTAAGAACAGATAGGACAGTATTTTATTGTTGCTGACAACAATCAAAAGCCTTTATCAACATCTATGTTGCAATTTTTATAACTGCTGACCTCTGTTACATCATTGCGTATTAAATGTTTCACTGTAGTGGAGTACAAAGACATGATGGTGTAGAAAAAAGCACATTTGATGTGGAAGGATCCACATTTTAATTTGAGAAACAATACTTTTCTTGTTTTCAACAAAAAAAGTAATTATTGTTTACATTTTATTATCTTTACTGGTATTGAAACTGCAGTATGTGTTACAAATATATGTTATTGCATATTGGCTAAAACTGTTACCATGAAGTCACCATGAAGGAGTGTCTTGGCGCTGTCAACCACACTCGTGTATGCGCTGCTCCAATGTCCTAGTAGTTGAAAAGCAACTTACCATTATTGTAAAATGTTCATCGGCTATTATCAGCTGCCATGCCAGTTAGCCTTAAATCCCATGGCAGGCTTTATTTTCTTCCGGCATTATATTTGTTGGATATCATGCAGACTGTATCTTACTCTGATATCATGATATCAGCTACTTTTATTAAAGCACAGAAGACCAGACTCACTTGTTCACATGAGGATTCATTTTCAGCAGGGGAAAGACAATAATTTCACAGTGAGAACATATTTTATACAAGACAATAACTATATTTCCATGCAACTGTCATGTGAATTTTGAGGAAGCTTTAAAGATTTTGCAAAAGAAAAAGAAAAATGAAAATGTGAATTAGGCATGTTTCTATCTAATGGTATGGAGTGAATCAAACAGCTTAAGCAAAGCATGAGTACATGAGATTCTGACATTATGCCTGACTATAACAAATAAGAAACTGTTGGCTACATCAGCACTTATTCAGAAAAAGTATTTTCATCTGTTTAGTGCATTATCTCTTTTTTTTTAAATAAGTCTGAAATCACCTCAAGTGAGTGTAAAAACACTTGAGGTGAAATTAAGAAAATTGTTTCAAATTTTGCCATTTTCATCAACCTTTTCTAATTTCATCCCATAGTTCTTATGGGGGTCAAGTTCTAATATGATAGACCCTCTTGTTTAGGGTTAAGGATTAGGTTTAGTTGCCAGGTTTAAAGTAAGCTTTATAAACTAGTTTAAAAGTTCAAAATCAGTTTTCAATTTGTGACTGAACTATAAAAAAATACTAAGCATAAAACTAAAAAGTACATATATTATATCCATAATAACAGACTTGTTTCTTGTTATCATGTGTATTCATCACTATTCAACTCAAGTCTTTGTCTCTTTCTTTATTAGTTGCAAAACATTCATTCTACTGTGCAGCTTCATTCCAGCAAAAAATAAAATAAATCAAAGTTCTTTTTGCCCAATATTTTTATTGTTAAAGTTTATAATCTAATGAATTATGATGACTTTATGTATTGGAGCATACAATAATCAGGACATCTTTTCTTTATTTTGAATTTGCTGATCTCTAAACTACGACAACAAAATGACAAGAAGTAAGATTAGCACCACAACCAGAACAAATGGAAGAACAATTTTCCAATAAGGGAAACAGCATTTATCAAGCCTTTCAATGAGACCCGGCTCCATGTGTCTGATCTCCTCGATCTGTTGGTTCTGAAACCGTTGATCTAATTCACAGATCAGTTGATCAACTGCCTCAATATTTTTAGCACACGCCAGCAATCCTGGCACCATCTCATGGAAGAGAACATGAACATCCAGGATGACGTTGGGATATTTGTCAGACCAGTTCACTCCAGCTGTGGAGTAGCCCTCATCTCGCGTGTGGTGCATCAGAACCAGAATGACATTTTGATCTCCTGCTAAAACAAGAATAAAACGAGGTGAAGGGAAGGTTTTGCATTCATAGAGTGTGTGGTTGTTTTATTTCTTGATTAGACGGATGTCTAAACCAGTGGATTATAAAACTGGTACCTGGAACCTTGGTCATGGCCGCTTCCACATCTGACCCAACGCGAGAGGTGATGGGACAGAAAACGATGATGAAGAGACTTTCTATCCAGTGTGTGATGGTCAGCTGTATCCTCCTCTTCATTTTACTCAGCAGTTCTTCATCACACCAAACGTCTCCCCACAAGTGATGGTGTGGACTTTAACTAAACGAAATTACAAAATACAATAGATGAATTTTCAGTAATAAGTAATAAATTATTATTTGTAATAAGTAATTACTAATATGTAATTACTCACTAATAAATAAGTCCTAGTTACTTAATAAGTAACTAAGTACCTACTAAAGTAGTTACTTATTAGTAATAGTAACTACTACTAACATTGAATTATTTTTTAATTAAATGTTCTTAATTAAATTGAGATAAAAACATTCATTTTGCATTTAAAATGAATGTTTTTAATTTTTAAATTAAATCTGGCATATTTACATGATGTATTCGTGTCGATTAATATGCATTGTCCTCTTTATGAAATAAATAAAATTCATAAAAATTAAAATCAGAACTGGAATATGACATCTGTCAGTGTGGTTCCTGCAACAGTGATGCTCACCTCCTGAAGTCTGATACATGTTGACGTCTAATAAGAGAAACAAAGCAGTATGATCAGTTTGGCATTTCTGCAGAGATGAAACATGAGTGTTAACTCTGTAAACTGATAGCATTTAATTGACTCAGAGGCATTCAGATGCTTTTACTTGAACAGTAAACTGAGAGTAGATAATTTGGCAGCAGAGGAAAAATAAAACCACTCTCAGAAAAGTCAGAAGTCTTAAGTTCTTGGATTTCTCCAACATGTCCAGTTTGATTTGTTTTAAACAAAGTTACCAAAAGCGTAAACAGAATCAATCCTAAAGTCAGAATAGATCTGACCTTTGACACTGATTGCAGAGATAGATTACACTTATGAGCTTTGAATCAATGAAACGCAATTTAATGCTCCATTTTCACTCTTACAACACATTAATTTATTCCTTGAATAAACTGAAAGATTTATTTAATATATCATACAATGTAAAGAGTATCAATGTAAAATAAATTGAAAGAAAAAAAACAGAGGAAACAAAATGTTGCAGTCATAGAAAAAACAACAGTGTTTGATGTTTCCTACCTTTGCTGTAAATGTGTGGCTCCAGAAAAACAAACAAGCAAAGATAGTTTCTTAGTGCAGTTTTTGCTGCAGCATAAAGTGACTGCGTTTGACTTGAACCAGGGGCTATTACACAACTCAGGCACTTTCACTTTCATTCTTAGAGAGATAGAAAGCTCATGTCTTATGTACAGACAACTCCCAAGACAATGTGGATCTTTTGGGACAGGAAGAAAAAACTGTAAAACCTGGTGAATGAGAACTAAGGCTGTGCACAATAGGCTCCTTAGCCAATATGTATTCATTAAAATAGAGAAATAAATGATAAACATGCAATTATTTAAAAAAAAAAAAGTAGTTGAAGTAATTACAACATATCATATTGTGTCAAATGATCAAGTTGCTGGGTTAAGATATACAGCTACTTGGACTTAGAAGTTTTTTTTGTTGAGGCAACAAACATACATTTTAAAATAAAGTCCACTATATTTTACAGTGCATATTACAGTGAAACCCAGAAACATTGGGCTTTTACCAAATAGATTTTATGTGGGTCAGGTAGAGCAAGAAGCAAAATGATCTAAACAAGATGCTCTTGTTTCAGCTGCCTTACTGTACAGGGAAGAATCTCTTTCTGTTCTCACCATATCATTATTCTACAGGTGTGCATAAATATGGAAAATGATTGAGTATGGAGAGACGATTCAGTCTCCTGAATCTTTCCCATCTTAACCCTTTTCAATCCAATTCTCTGTTTTGATTTTCTTGAGGCATAATAAAGGGCAGGAAAAAACGTTTTATAAAAAATAATTTTTCTAAACTTTTCTAGGTGATCAATCATAATTTTCTCAGAATACAAAGATGTTATGTCAAAAATACATCAGTACTATTAGCGGTTGTCTGATTGAAACAAACATGAGCTGAAGACAGAGGTGGTGTGGAGGAAAGTTGAAGCTCAGCCAATGAACAGAAGCAGATGAACAGCTAGACTTTGTCAAGAGAACAACGCTTGATGATTGGAGGAGGAGATCATCACCGATTGGTTGGAATCAGTCACAGCTGATTTCTATAACCTCAACTTTTTTTTTTTATTTGTAAACGCATAAAGAATAAGCTCTACAGTATATGAATGTTTCTTTTTATTTTGTGCTTCACAATTAATCATAAAACAATGACTAAACTACAGTACATTTTTTATTCAAATTGATTAATGCACATTACTGAATTTTAAGACACATCTTGTGTTTCTCCATCTGTTTGTTGATCAAAGCTTTAGCTCAATAAAAACCACAAAATAATCACAAGCAGAAATATCACCACTAATGCAAAAGGCATCCAGTTATTTTCTTTACGTGGTTCCAGATATTTTTGCATTCTGTAAACAGCATCCGTGTTCTTGGAAGAGGTGATCAACCCCGGGACGCTTTCATGGAAGAGAGTATGAACTTCCAAGTCGATGTTGGGATATATCTCCGACCACAAAGTCCCAGCAGTCGAGTATTCAGGGTCTCGGGTGTGATGCATCAAAACTAAGACGACCTTTTTATTCACTGTAGGACAAAAAGGAACAGATTTAATGGACCAAAAATCTTTTTACTGAAGAATCCTTGTTGGACTGTGTAAAAGTCTTGGGCCAAACCTAATTGAAGACGTGTGTAATTTCTAATAAAGTATTTCCGTTCATGTTTCCAAACAGGGGAAGTGTTACAGCGCAATCGATTGCCCTGGCATAAGTACTGCAGCGAAGACGTACATTTTTTCTTTTACAAATGTAATATTTCTCTCCATGCAGACGAGGCTTCGGTTCTATAACTAAACTATGATTGAGCTCAAATTTATGAATTACTTTGACAATCTCTCTCTAGTAAAACATGCAGTTCTTACTCTGACTTCTACTAAGTATCAGATTAGCAAAATTAAGATTTCAGTCATTAAATAAATTCTATCATCATGCAATAGTATGTTACCTGCAGCCATTTAATAATTGTGTTTTTTTATTTACAATGTTTTTCCTCATGGTTTCAGGTTAGTTTGTCTTTTTTTCAACTTAAATAATATTTATCATTTGAATGCTGCATTGGCTCAGATTGATACTGTGTGTGATTTCTTTATTTTGGTAGTGAAATTACCAAGAAAATGTTGCCTGATTGCTTACGTGGCATGTTTCGCATTGCGGCCTCCACATCTGAACCAACACGGGAGGTGATGGGACAGAAAACGATGATACATTTTCCATCCCGGTTGGTTCCCTCCAGCTTCACCTTCCATCTCACTTGGTTCATCAGAGCTACATCGGCACCATAGGTCATCCCCGTGGTGACCGTCTGAACTTTGACAGGTGCTGATGAACGAAATACAAAGCAGGAAAACATTAACAGAGAACAACAAATCAGGAAAAGATCCTTATTTACATGAGCTGAGATGATCACTCACTTGAAAGACAGGGCATCTTGTGGTTTCCTTCAAAAAGAGACACAAAGACCAAAATGAACATATCCATCCATCATGGATGTAAGACCTTTTAAACGTACCGTGCAACAATGTGCAACTCCAACTTATAATTTACCTCTTGGTGAAGAGAAATCGAGTTTAAAAAACAAAAGTTTTAACACAGTCGAAAGAGTTTAATTTTATTGAGATTATTTTAGTACAATAAACACTTTTGTTTTCAATAATCTGAGTTGCAATAACTTTCTTGATGTTTTGCAGGTGCACACTATGCACGAGGTCATGTATTTCAAGTGGACTATTTGGATCACTATTTCTTACAGATAATCAAATCCCCACTCAGCTCCTTCAGACTAGGCAGCAGCAATTAGCGAACACCTGGTGGAACCGCGCATCAGCTGAGCTCATTATAAGAGCTACTTCTGGTAAAACGTTAAAGAGTTAATAAAGGAGCCATGTTGTGATGACTTTCTGAAGGCGGAGTTTCAGAAAGAGCAGGAATCTCTTAAAGTGACCACGACCCAATTTCAAGGCCTTCAATTACAAAGTAAATATTATTTGAAGTCATTTTTGATATATGCAGCATTTTTTGACAGCTGTAGTAAACAGAGCTACTTAATTGTGCTACAAAATACCACTATTTAGAAAACATGTTACAGACCCTTTAAGCAAGATGGAAGGATCCTTCGTTTCGCTGAGGCTGCACCTTACTTAAAAAAACCTTTTTGTTTTTTAAACCTTCCACTCAAAATGTCATTAATAGACTTTGACTCAAAATTCTCTAAACAACCAGATTATTTAACAATAACATTTCCTGAAACAGTCACTTTGTTCTGAACAATTCAGTAAATAAAATGGTTAAAAAGCTCAATTGTTACCTTTACGTCTTATTGCTGCTGCTGCTGCTGAGACAATGAGAGAAGCTACTGGATGTTTTGCAGAAAATGTTTTCACTTTCACTTGTACTTGACAATGAGCCCAATATCTTTTATCAGGGTGTTTCCTGCACAACAGGAAAGTATTTTAAGTGTCTGCAATGGACACAATGGTTCTGCTGGTAGGAATACAAAAGGAACAATAACAAAGTAAAAGTATTGATCAAGATAAATGAATCATTGCTATTAAGTGGATTGTCTCAAATCGTTGGCTTTGCTCTTTATGGAGAAGAATCTTATCAGAATCATCCAGACTTCAACAATGGAGTCAGTGAGAAATCTTTGTACAAAATGTAGAACACTACATGACATCACAATGTTGCTTTGGTTATTTTCAATCATTTAAATACACTGCTGTGAAATCTTAGCTTATGTCTTGATAGATGTCTGTTTTGGAGTTTTTAGTGCCACCTGGAGAACACTCCACTAGTTCTGTCTGTTGTTTACAGGTTCTGGTCAGCAGATTTTGTGACAGAAGGTTTGTGTTTGTTTTCTAACAGGGAGAAAAGAGACTTGACTGAACTGTAGCTGTAAAGATATGGAGTGTTATGTACAGAGGATTATGTGGATCTCGGCACAGGTGACCTTGCCATTTGCCTGTTGTAAAAAAAAAAAAAAAGAATGGCTTTGATCCTCATAAGGAAGTACAACTAAGATAATCTGGAGCATCAATGACCTCTTCTCCACTGTTTTATAACACACTTTTGCTTTGAGAAAACCTCAAAGCAAAAGAGGTGCTTATATATTTGAAATACTTTGTAAATATAAAAAAACTTTTTTAAAGGTATTTCAAAGTATTTAAAAATATATATATTTAAAACATTTTAAAGTATTTTTTTTGCTTTATGTATACTAACATTTTTTTTTCTTCTTTTCTGATACAACTAAAATACAACTAAAATGTGTTTGATATCAGTCATAGCATATGAAAGATTCTAATTTTGCATGTTTTTGAACTTCCATCTTTGTCTTTATTTCTAAAAACAGCCCAACTGCTTTAAAATCTCACACAGCAGATTTTTTTGGTGTCTGGAAAATTATCATTTCATAAACCTTCATAATGAAACGACACAAATCAGCAGGCACTGCTACTCACCCAGCAACCCCAGTAAAGCCCAGCTTTTGCATCTGCATCAACATTTGCAGAACATTTTTCACAGAAAATCTTTGAGTTATAATCTGCAGGGGAACTTTTTTTTCAGGTGATTTTTTTTTGCATGTTAAATTTTGAAGATGAATTATGCAGATGAATATTTACTGTTTTTAAAGTAAAAAAAAAAAAAAAGAAAGATTGTCACAGAATAAAATTCAGTGTCTAATGTGAGACAGTACACGTCTTTCCTAAAAACTCAATGAGACAAAAAGTTTAACAAGCTTCGATTTTAGAACATTTGAAACCTTTTTGAATAAATGAGTGAGACCTTCTTAGAAATCACGTGGTCTAGAAAAGTGAAAGTGAAATGAGAAAAACACTATAAAAACCTTGAACTCTTGCTTTAATCAGACCTGTAACAGTTCTCTCTCTACTGCAGCTTATCTTCTCCTCAGGTTAATTTTTTTTACCTCCCTTTATTACCAGTAGAAAAGCAGCTGCAGCAAACGATCGATAAACAAATGTAGCTACATAAAGAGCGCAAAATAGCCATTTGAAACCAATGATTATTTTTAGTAGGTTTAATGTATTTAGTTTTATAAGGTAAAGTTCTCCCTCTCCCTCTCTCTGTATTTTGCAGAGTATTTCCTGTCACTGTCATGGGGGGTGAATCTTCTAAACCAGGTAAGTTTCATTCCTGATTGTCTTGGTTGAAAGAGATGCATTGATTATTTCACTAATTAATTTGAGTTGGTGCATATATTGCAGATTTTAGCTAATTTTATTTTTCCCTTCATATAAAATTGATCTCGAATGTATTTTTTAAAGCAGAAAGTGAAATAAAGTTACATGTTAATCATTGAGTATAAACTCTAGAACATGTTGACAGGGAATGTCTGAAAAGCTTCGCAATAGAAACTGTGTTGGATTTATAATTATTAAAATTTTGACTCATAATATTTCCTGTATTGTTTTGTTTAGCTCCTCCCCCATGTAAGTACTATTTGTTTTCCATTTTTCATTTTAATGTTTTTCTTTACTCACTTGAGAGTAAAAATGAATCTATTCAATGTGTTACATATTTAAGAAGACCAATTATGTTTATTATCCTCTAACTTTTATATAACATTAATTATAGTTCTAGTAATTTATTGACCTAAGTAATGCGTCTCTGTGCCTGTTCAGCTCCACCACCTTCTCCACGTGAGTAAAACTTATCATTCATGCTGACAAAGCAGAAAGTGCTTTTCTTGTCTCAATAAGAAATTGAATTGTTGTATCTACTGATCTCTTGAGTCATTCTCATACACATACTAATGTATTTAACATTATTTACAAAAGCTAATTCTTCCATCTACTTCAACATATTGTTCTGGTTTGAAGACTTTGCCGTGAATTGTTCTTCACAGTTTTAAGAAATCCATGGAGAGAAATAACTTGGGGGTGAGTCAATGTACCTTAGTAAAGTCTGAATGGTTAAAGTGATTGATTTATTTTTCTTTCTTTTTTTTTTTTGGTTCTGGATTATCAGCCTTCACAAACTGTCCTCTGGATTAACAGTGTCCCTTAGACTTGGTTACGTCATCAAAGCTCCCAAAAATCACTAAATGTCACATTTCAGGGTTTAGTCGATTAGTCAATCGGTTCATCCCGATAGGCTAATCGGGATGACCAGGACTTTAATTGATACTTAAATCACATACTAAAGACTTAATTTTCTTGGTGGTAACCCCATTGGTTAAGGTTTAAGGCACTGAAAACTGAATCTTGTAAGCTAACAGAGCCTATGCAGCAATTTTCACATCTTACTGATCACACAAAGTGAATTGCAGATCATTCACTGTTTGAAGTTCACATATATATACTGTACATCAATCTCAGTACCAGGAGGTCAGTTGGGGTTCAGGATCTGAGCCTAATCATCTCTGTTTATCATGACTAAAACTATTTTCTTAATTAATAATCTGAGTTTTTCCATCCTAACAGTGGTACCAGGCAAGCTCTTAAATCCATGCAGGAGTTTCAACCTCAAAATGAAGAGGCAACAATCAGGGTCCTGCTCTACGGCCCAGTCGGTGCGGGGAAGTCCAGCTTGATCAACTCTGTCAACAACGTCCTGCAGAGCAGAATGACCAATGATGCTCTGGCCAGTGGCACAATCTCCAGTCACAGTTTCACTAAGATTGTGAATATCATTTCTTCTTTGACATAAAAGTCCTACTGATAATTTGAGGCTTTTCGATTTATGAATTCAGTCTCCTTCATTGGTCCTTTACAATCGCATGAATTCTCCCAGAGACATGGCAGAATATAAATAACATTATCTGACACTCAGTGTTTACACAAAGATTATAGCAGCACTTTGTACAGATGTTTACTTAGCAAAAGTCATTTATGTTGGAAATTATAAAATTAATTTTGCTCCAATTTAAAATGTATTTTCAGCAGCTATATGACTGATGTTCATATAAAATACTTTTTCTCTCAGTACAAAACTTATAAAATCAAGAAAGAAGGCAGGGGAAACTTTTATCCATTTGTGTTCAATGACATCATGGGTCTGGAGGAAGGAAGTGGAGTCAGAACAGACGACATCAAAATGGCTTTGAAGGGACATGTGAAGGATGGATACAAGGTACAAATATATAATTTTCTACTCTTAAAAATTCCATCTTCTAAAGCTGTTATAATTAGTTTTAAGAGAAAAATATATTTCCTTACCAAATGTCCTCAATATGTATCATATTTTTTTTCCACAGTTCAATCCTTCATCCTCCATTTCTGCTGGTGATTCTGGCTACAATTCTTCCCCGTCCGTCAGTGACAGAGTCCATGTTCTGGTTTGCATTTTCAATGTTAATACACAAATCAAGCCGTCTGTTTTACAGAAAATGAGGGAAATCAGAGAAGCGGCCAGTGATCTGGGTAAGAAACAACAAATAGAGTAATATACAGTTGAGAAACCTTTTGTGTGTGTGTGTGTGTGTGTGTGTGTGTGTCTGATTTAGCTATTTAAATATATGACTTTCTCCTAAAATGTAAAGTTACACATGCAAATAAACTCTCTGTATCCACAGATATTCCTCAGCTGGCGATTCTCACTCACATTGATGCAGCCTGTGGGGAAACACAAAGTGATCTGAGAAACGTTTACAGGAGCAAATATTTAAAGAAAAAGGTCAGACATAGAAAGATTTATTCAAAATAAGAGAAAAAGACCTGACAATATTGACCACAAAGTAAAAGTATTATTACTATGTTTAATATACAGATTGGTGACTTCAGCTCCAGTCTGGGGATCCCAATGAACTGCATCCTCCCAATGAAGAACTACAGTGATGAGACTGAGCTGGATTCAGACGTCGACGCTCTGATCCTGAACGCCCTGAAACTGATTGTTAACTTTGGAGATGACTACGCTGACAAGCTGTGAAGCCACAGAGCTGTGTGTGTGGTTAATATGAATGTAAATTACAGCAGTAATTTTTTGTTGTTTGTATCATTAGACGGTTATTGAGGACGGTATCTATGGAGGCCATTAGCTCTTGATGTAGTGTCCGGGATTTGATTTCTGATCTTGGGATATTTTCCACATCCTTCCTGTTTTTCTCTCGTCTCTGATCTGCACTGTAAAATGCAATCAGTTGGCTTTACTTTAAAGAGTTGTGCAAACTTGCATCAAAAAAGAGAAACCAGTTTTTACAACTTAAAAATATCACTATGTGTAAGTTTACACAAATCAACTAACTTGATGATTATGAGTCACATTAACATGTTTAATTTTAGTGAGTGTAACTTAAATCAATTTCATAAATTGAGTATGTAACTTAAATAACACCCAAAGCTTGTTTTTTTTTTTGTTGTTTTTTTAAAACGAGAAACTACTCATGTAAAAAGAAAATGTATTGATTGAAACAGTTCATGGCTCCTGGCTTTTTATTGATTAGTCTTCATAACATAAAAATCAGTGATAGTTTTGTGACTGAAGAGGACAGCACAAGCAGCAACGCTATGTAATTAAATAAAGATAACCGAATCAGCTATGTAACTAGGGAATGCCCCAAGAAAATAAAAGGAGAGTGTGAAGCGGAGCTTGCTTCAGAACGGGTCGGATATTGTAACTCAGTTGTTCCTGTCCTTTCTCCTTGTGCAAGAAAATGTAAAACTCATTTGTCTCTCTTCTCCTCCTGTTAGAGAATGCTTAGGTAGATGAACCTGACATATAGGCCACACAGCTTTGATTTGTCTCTTTTTTGCATGACTTTAATTTAACTGGTAGTGAGTCCATTACGTTTCTATTTGTAAAACATATTAGACATAATATTCCATTCATGCATTCAACTCATTATGCATATACTTGAAAGATGAGTTGGTCAGAAAAAGCCCTGCAGTTGGTGACTGATAGGTATTTTCTCAACCTACATAAAACGAGAACCACAGACAACGTTAATTTTAATCAATTCTTCTGCAGAAGGAGAAGACACAGAAGAGCTACTTCTTTCAGCAGCTAATAAGGAATGGGGGAAGCATAGGATGCAACCCAGTTTTACAACTGAGAAGTATCTCAGAAGTTGTCCTAAGACCTGCTGCAAAAACATGCTGGAGGTTAAAGAAAGGTTACACACTTTAGCAAATTCCTTTTTTCTCACTGGGGTAAAAAAAACTAAACTAACCTTTATAGGAAGAACAAACTGGTAACTACTTATGTAAGAATAAGAAAACATAATTATTCTAACAGTGACAAGCTTAAATTTAATTTTTTATTGCTTTTCAAGTGGAAACTAAAAGCTTTTTTTCTCAAAGTGAGTGCTCTTCTTGTAAATCACATGAGCCATGAAAGTGAAAGTGAAACAGTGAAAACACTATAAAAGAGCCAAGAGCTTTTACTTTCATCAGCATCATAACAGATCTCTCTGCTGCAGCACATCTCCTCCTGAGGTAGGATTCTTTTCCTTCTGAAAAACAAATGAACTGATTTAAAGAGCTCTTACAAATGATTGCAGTCATTCTCTCTTCTTCTCTCTGTATTTTGCAGTGTATTTCCTGTCACTGCCATGTGGTCATTCATTAAAGATTTTTGTAAGTTACATTCCTAATGGTTCAGGTTGAAATATGTGCATTAATTATTTCACTGATTACTTTCACTTTTTGCATATGTTGCATATTTTCAGTTAATTTAATTTCGCCATTCAAATTAAATTTATCTTGAACATGTTTTTAAAACAGAAAGTGAAATAAAGTTACATGTTAACTATTGGAAATAAACACTAAAACATAGAGTTTTTATTGCTGAATTTTAGCAATAAAATCTGTTTATGCAAATTTTGACTCATAATATTTCCTGTGTTCTTGTGTTTAGCTCTTCCAATACATAAGTATTATTTCTTTGATGTGTTTTTCATTTAGTGTTTTCCTTTATTCACCTTAGAATATAAATAAATCTATTCACTACATCAATGTACTGCAGATTTAAGAACACCAATCATGTTTATTGCTTTAATATGAACATTAATTATATTTGTAGTCATTTATTGACCTAAGTTATGTGTCTCTTTGCCTGTTCAGTTTCATCACCTCCACGTGAGTAAAATTTATTATTCATGCTGACCCAGCAGAAAATTGTTTCATTTAGTGTTTTCCTTTACTCACTTTAGACTGAAATTAAATTTTCACTTTCAATTCCTCAATGTACCACAGATTTAAGAACACCAATTATGTTTATTACTTTAATATGAACATTAATTATATTTATAGTCATTTATTGACCTGAGTAATGTGTCTCTTTACCTGTTCAGCTCGACGACGTTCTCCATGTGAGTAAAACTTATTATTCATGCTGATGCAGCAGAAAGTGTTTTCCATCCATCCATCCATCCATCCATCCATCCATCCATCCATCCATCCATCCATCCATCCATCCATCCATCCATCCATCCATCCATCCATCCATCCATCCATCCATCCATCCATCCATCCATCCATCCATTGTCTACCGTTTATCCGAGGTCGGGTCGCGGGGGTAGCAGCCTAAGAAGGGAGACCCAGACTTCAGCCACTTCCTCCAGCTCCTCCGGGGGAATCCCGAGGTGTTCCCAAGCCAGCCGAGAGACGTAGTCTCTCCAGCGTTTCCTGGGTCTTCCCCGGGGCCTCCTCCCTGTGGGACGTGCCCAAAACACCTCACCAGGGAGGTGTCCAGGAGGCATCTTAACCAGATCCCCGAGCCACCTCAACTGGCTCCTCTTGATGTGGAGGAGCAGCGGCTCTACTCTGAGTCCCTCCCTTATGACCGAGCTTCTCACCCTATCTCTAAGGGAGAGCCCAGCCACCCTACGGAGAAAACTCATTTCGGATGCCTGTATCCGAGATCTCGTTCTTTCGGTCATGACCCAAAGCTCATGACCATAGATGAGGGAAGGAACGTAGATCGACCGGTAAATCGAGAGTTTCGCTTTTTGACTCAGCTCTCTTCACCACGATGGACAGATACAACGCCCGCTTCACGGCGGACGCTGCGCCAATCCGCCTGTCGATCTCCCGCTCCTTTCTTCCCTCATTCGTGAACAAGATCCCAAATCTTTTTTATTTAGTGTTTTCCTTTACTCATTTAGAGTAAAAATGAATTTATTCACTTTCACTTCCTCAATGTACCACAGATTTAAGAACACCAATTATGTTTATTACTTTGATATGAACATTAATAATATTTGTAGTCATTTATTGACCTAAGTAATGTGTCTCTTTTTTCCTGTTCAGCTCCACCACCTTCTCCACGTGAGTAAAACATATTATTCATGCTGACACAGCAGAAAGTGTTTTTCTTGCCTCAATAAAAAACTGAATCTCTACTGATCTCTTGACTCATGTTACTAATATATTTAATATTATTTAGAAAAGCTAATTCTTCCATCTATTGTGACTCACTGTTCTGATTTTAAGACTTTGCTCTGAATTGTCCTTCACAGTTTTAAAAACTCCATGGAGAGAAATAACTTGGGGGTGAGTCAATGAGTAAACAATGTACCTTGTTAAGATCTATATGTTGAAGGTGATGTTTGTTTTTTTTTGGTTCAGTATAATCAGCCATCAAAACAATTAATAGTGTCCCTTGAACCTTCAATGTCATCAGGGTCATTGGTTGAATGACATAACTCTGTCATTTTGTGATTGTTTTTGCCCCACATATCACAAAATGACACATTTCAGGGTTTAGACGAGCCCAGATTGGCTGACTGGGAAGACAGGGATGATTCCCAGTGGGCCTGTTTAAAGTTTGGGAAGCAAGCGCTGGTTTTCTCTTTCTCTCTACTTTTTTTTGGGCCAGTATGTTACTGCGATCACTAAATCATGTCTGGCATTTTAAAAAAAGTAAATTTTATCGGATTATCTATAATTATCTTCCATCCATCCATTTTCTACATCCTTATCCCATTGGGTGTTGGTGTTTATCTCCAGCGGTCAAGGGGTGAGAGGTCACCCTGGACTGGTCACCAGTCCTTCACAGGGCATAATTATATTCCTGATGCCTAAAAATAAGTTTTTTACAAGACAGCTACATTTTGACTATCTTGAATTGTAATTTATGATAATTAGAGATGAAACAAAAATTTTTTTAAGAGGATGTTGTCTACCGTGATAACATCTTCTAAGATAGTTAATGTTTTGCTTTGCCTTGTTTTGGAGGTTCAGCCTGACATAGCTCCTCAATTCACTTGATGGAAAGTAGAAAGAGAGGCGGGTTGAAGGCTGGAGTCAGAAAGAAGAAGCTCTGGAAAACAATGCAGCTAAATGTGTTTGGTCACATGAAGGCAATGAAACGGGTCCAGCTGTCCACTGTTCAGTCAAATCAATGAACTGTGTGGCGTTGCAGTTTACATTGTAATGATGCATAATTTATATATTTACAAAATTTTTGTCTTAAATGTCTATTTATCATGAAATATAGTTACAAAACTTCATTCGCTAAAGTGGGCTGGAAATCAACTGCACCCAATTGTACATATTTAACTGATGCAATAAAGACTGAAGAGTTAAATCTTTACTAATGAAATTAAAAGAAGCCACTGTGCGGCACTGAAGGTTGAAACTTATTGTAAACTAACAGAAGTTATGTAGTGAGATCAACATGCTGATCACACAGTGAGTTGAAGGTCATATTCACTGATTCTCACTGTTAGAAGTTCACACATAATCTGTACATCTTGTTGGGGTTCAGGGTCTTGCCTGAAGTCAAGTCATCTCTGTTTATCAAGATAAAAGCTATTTTCTGATGTTATGATTTCAAATATTGCATTTTAACAGAGACAACAGCAAAGATCTTCAGTACTTCAAGAATTTTCAGCCTCAAAATGAGGAGGCAACAATCAGAGTCCTGCTCTACGGCCCAGTTGGTGCAGGGAAGTCCAGCTTCATCAACTCTGTTAACAACGTCCTGCAGGGCAGAATGACCAATGAAGCTCTGGCCAGCAACAAAACAAGTGATCAAAGTTTCACCAAGATTGTGAATATCATTTCTTCTTTCATTTTAAAGGCTTATTCACATTTTAGATTTATAAATATTCACAGTAACATGGTAGAAAATACAGAACATTTTCTACAAACTTGCAACAACTGAATATTGAAATGTCTTATTCATATTTTTATTCATCAAAAATAAATTTAGGTTGAAAATTAAACTTTTTAAAAGTATTTAGAGGCAGGTTTGTAACTCTTCAATTTAAAATATATTCTAGCCGCTTTATGCCGGCTGATTACATAAAACATAGTTTTCTTTTCTTTCAGTATCAAACTTATAAAATCAAGAAAGAAGGCAGGGGAAACTTTTATCCCTTTGTGTTTAATGACATCATGGGTCTGGAGGAAAGAACTGGAGTCAGAGTTGATGATGTCAAACTGGCCTTGAAGGGTCATGTGAAGGATAGATATAAGGTATATATACGTTTCTGCTTTAAAAAAAATTCCTTGTCTTAAAGACATTATAATTTACTTGCTTAATGTGGAATGTTCATCATATTTCCTTTCCCACAGTTCAATCCTGTATCTTCCCTGTCTGATGATGATCCTGGCTACAACTCTTCCCCGTCCATCAGTGACAGAGTTCATGTTCTGGTCTGCATTTATGATGCTAATGCACCACAAATTAAATCCTCAGTTTTAGAGAAAATGAGGGAAATCAGAGAAGCAGCCAGTGATCTGGGTAAGAAACAGCAAATATGCATTTAGAATATTATTCTGCACTTTTTTAAAATGTTGTCAAAAATGTTTAATCACACTCTTGTGATCTAGTTATTTCAATATATTGTTTGAATAATACATTTAGAGTTTCTTGAGAAACTCCATGTTTTAGAGTCTGTATCTCCACAGGAATCCCTCAGCTGGCGATTCTCACCCACATTGACTCAGCCTGTGGAGAAACAGAGAAAAATCTGAGAAACGTCTACAGGAGCAAACATTTAAAGAAAAAGGTGAATCAGAAAAAGATTTATTCTAAACAGGAATACCTCCTAAAAATATTGTACAAAAACTAAAACAATGATTGTGTGATATGTAGATGGGTGACTTCAGCTCCAGTCTGGGGATCCCAATGAACTGCATCCTCCTAATGAAGAACTACAGTGATGAAACTCAGCTGAATTCAGACGTCAGCACTCTGATCCTGAATGCTCTGAGGCTGATGATTGACTTTGGTGACGACTACGCCGACAAACTGTGAAGCCGCAGAACAGTTTGTGTGGAGATGCATGGAAATTGAAAATATGAGCATGAAAATATATTTTTTGTGTACATATCGATTATATCATTACCTAGTTGTAGAGGAGATTATAGTCGTTGAGCAGTAACCAAGTTTTCTGACCTTTGACACATATTTCCTACTTTTCTCTCTCAACCCTTTTGTGGTAAAATTAGTAATTAGGAATAAGGAATAATTAAAGTGCTTTTACAATTGTAACTTTGGTCAGTCGGGAATAGATTTGCTAAAAAATGAACAGTTCTCTTCACCAATATTCCATTTTATATCCATTTGTTTGCTGGTCTTTCTATCGATTGAAAGGGCAACACATTTACACTGATGTTATTCATTTTGTTAAATGAACAAACTTTTTGTTACATTCTGTTCTTTTGCATAAAAAAAAACAAACTTCAGACCTCGTTGGAAACCAAGTGCCTGTAATCGCTTATACATGTTTTTTTTTACAATTATGACTGAATTGTTTGGTTGATGGTTTACATTTACATTCTGTGTGTTACTTTCCAGCTTGATAAAAGTCGCCACCAAACTATTAGCAGCTGTATCAGGTCAAAGCGTCGCATGTTTTTATTGTTGACTCATTGTTGTAGAACATTTGGAGATCAATCTAAATGTGTATGATGTGTCATAAAACAATGTTACAGTTTGAATCATGTTAAATAAAAACAGTGAAAATAAAAATCAGCTTCACTCACATTCTATTTTAGACAGTAAAACGTAGAGTAATATGTTTTATTACTCTATAAACATAGAGTAATATGTTTTATTGTCTACTACTTAGTACTGTATTTTATTCTTTGTTCTCTGGTTTTAAGGATTCTTTGCAACATGTTTTCCAAACCAGTCGTTCAGCTGCTTGTGTTTGATTAAGATGATTAATCTGTTTCTGAAGTAGAGCCGCTGCTCCATCATGGAAGGAGACGTTCAGATCAGAAGGACTCATCAGTGTAAAACATTTAAACTGCAGGTAGTTTAGACTGACCTTTTACTCTTTAGGTCAAAGAGAAGTTTTAGATTTTGAAGTTAAGCATGAGCTTACAGCAGTAAGTTGTGTAACTTAATTAGTGCTAACTTTGACAAATTTCCAATAGTTTAGTAAATAGGTTTTAAGTAAACTGTATTATATGTGAAAGAGTTATGTTTTTACTTTACAGCACGTTCCCAATATTTTCATACTCCAGATTTCAACTAAAGAAGCAATAAAGTTTTGTCAGAATAATAGGTTAAACATTGAAATTTTATTTTGATATTTTTACATGTGCAAACAAAACTAAGCATGCAAAAGCTGCATATTGCAGCTTTAATTGAATAAATTGGCATTTTTTGTCAAAAAAATAAACACAAAAGTAAATACATTTATCAGAAATCTACTTGTCCAATAAAAAGAACTTTGCTCATATTGCAGGATTTTCTGTTCACATCTTCTGAAGTCGATTCTTTAAAACCAACTTGTTCAGCAAAAAGCCCAGTCACAACCTGTTGTTACCTTTTTATGCAGTTTGCTAAATTTGATGCTTTTCCCCCAAAACAAACATGTACACATTCATCTGTACTACAGCAAAAACAATCAAGAAAATAAACGTTAAAAACAGCAAACAGTTAAACCATGCAACTTTTAGCATCAGGCTTTTTATTATTAAGCATTTGATCATTTCACTTCTGCACCATTAGCACATCGCTTCATACACATCTTTGGGAAACAGTGTTGCTTACTGCTGTAGATTTGATAATGACAATCTGCAATTTAAAGTAGTTTTCTATATAGACCCATAAATCCCTTTCAGATCGTTCTTTTGTTCAGCCATTGTCAGATGTTCATTAGGCCTTATGATCAACTCACCAGTTCTGATCTAGAATCTTGACCTACTAATTTTTATGCCCCTGATTTACAGATTTAGAGACGAACCCCTAATCACCACGATGGAGAACGGGGTCAATATGAGCTTTTGCAGAACAAGTGTGACGTCATGCTGTCTAATTTGAGAAATATGGTCAAGAGAAACAGACATATTGAGGATGACACATAGCAATTTGGTTTAGAACACTGAATGGTTTCAAGTCTCACTCCTTTACATGGGTCAATGATGTCTGTGATGGCTGGTTTGTGCAGCACATTTATTGAGGATCTATGATCTGAAAGGGTCTTTGGTCTACTGGTTGCAAAAAGTGTTCAAACGACCCCAACAAATAGATCTACCAGAGCTTTCTCAGTGACAAAGGTCTCAGATCATAATCTTCCATATGAATCATTAAATTGGTCCAAACTGAACTCAGAACCAAAGAGAGTCAGTGTAAACAATAATACATAATCTTCAGATAATATGCATTTAAATTAAACCAAACTTGTTAGTGATTTTTATAAAAATGCACCCCATGAAAAACATATAACTACAACAAAAACTAAACTGATACTTCATGTTTTCAGCATGTGGGTTGAAGTCGGTTTCCTCATGTACTGTATTCAACACTCAGGATTAAAGGAGGAAATTGCAATTGGGCTGCAAATTGGTGCAGGGATGAACTGAGTTGAACCTGAGTTCATACTGGAACTCAGTATGAATTCAGGTTCATATTTTCTGTGCTTGGGGGCAAAATAGTTCTTCTCTTACCATTGAAGAACATATAATAAGTGCATATAAGTGCTACAGAGGTTATCGTAACTTTCACCCAAAACATACGACTTATTTTCCAACTACTGTAAGAACTCAACACTCTGAGCATCTGATCCACCGCCATGTCGTTTTCAGAACATGTCAGTAATCCTGGCACCGTCTCATGGAAGAGAACATGAACACTGGAGACGACGTTGGGATAGACGTCTTTCCAGTCCCTCCCGGCCGTGGAGTAGCTGGGATCTCTGGTGTGATGCATCAGGACCAGAATCACCTTCTGATCTCCTGTGGGGAAAATGTGAACATGAGATGGATTTGAGTAACAGACGTCAGTACAGCACTACCTTGATCTGTCTTTGCTTAATGTGCCTCAGTAAATTTGGAAACTGAAAGATGTGCTATAAATATGTCACAGGAACTGTTTCCATTAACCTTAAAAATTTTGCAAAATGACGTTACAGAAATTAATATGCTTCAAGGAAACATGGTAATTTTGAAAAAACTTTCTGCACCAGCATAAGAGAGTTTGTCTTTTGTTATAGAAAGTAGGAATGTGTGACATACGATAGAAACGGTAAAGAAATTAGAAGTACAGTAGAGATCTGTAATCTACTGGCTAACCGCGGTAATGCTTATTGATGACATAAGTGGCTGGTATTGAAACAGAGCAAGAGGGAAGCAGCGTGGCTGAGAGCTCATAGCCTCATTATAAAGCCAGGTGCAAAACATGAATTATCTGGTCCTGGTTCAGGTTTAACCTCCCTCGGTCTTAGCGCGATGCTCAGGAGGAACGCAGCAGATGTCACGGCAAATGTCCAAAAATAACTAAATCTACCTGCAGGGCCGTGTACAGAGTAAACAATTTGTGGGGTTTAAATGACCCCCCCTTACCACCAGAAAAACACATTACTCCAAAAAGAAAAAAGCTACACAGTAAGTTTGTAGTACATGTGAAAATCTTTATTACCTGACAGCAAGCTCATGGCTGCTTCCACATCAGACCCGACTCGAGAGGTGATTGGACAGAAAAGCATGGTGATGGCATTTCTGTCCCGGTCCGTCTGGCACAGCTTTAACTTCCTTTCCAGCTGGTTCAGCAGGTCGTGATGAGCTCCAAAGGTTTGACCAGAAGTGACCACGTGGATCTTAACTGCGCCCGTCACCAAAACATGAAAACGAAACATATAAGCAGAAGACAAATATCACAGTACAGCAGACATTCTCGTCGCTACATGCCTTCACTCACCTAGTAAACTGAAAAACAACTTTATTCCTAATCAAAGAAAAAAAAGAGCAGGGTTATCTGTTTATGGTTTGTATAAAATTTTACTATGCATTTACATCTTCAACAGACTTGAGAGCTTTTTTTTGGGCTGCGCAAACTTCTGCTACAAAACATATAATATAGTTGCTTTATTTTGAAACCATTGCTCCTGGGTAACAATGAAGAATGTTGGGGGAACTCTCTTGTGACTTTGTGGAACTTAACCAAGTTTATTCAATCTCTGAGTGAGTGTACTGAACAGATGAGCAAAATATTTTCAGTTCAAGACTCACCTGTCTGCACAACAGTCCAATTTAGACCTGGAAATAAAACAATAACATGATCCACTTATCTTACTCAGAAGGAGAAGCTTTACTGAACACACTAAAGATTAAATACACTCACTTTGGTTTCTACATTCTGCAGCCAAATTAATGGCAGAATGTGGAGAAATGCAGAAATGAAGCTTTGTGTGTTTGTAGTTTATCCAAATTGTGTGACAGATGAAGCAACATTGTTCAATTTATTAGCTACACCTGGCAAAGTACCAAGCTGGACCATATTTTTTTAAGGACTCTCTTGATTCTGTGTGACACACAGAAACGTTTCTCAAATGGTTCCGATTGAAACAATAAAATCATAGAGTTTCTGCTGATTTATCAGCTGCATGTCCACGATGCTGGTTTCTTGTAGCATCCCCAGGCTGCTCGATTGAAGGGAGATGATTTGACACTGCTGCAGTACAGCAGACATAAACGCAGTGAAGCCAAAACTTCAAACTGGAAAGTATTTCAATTTCTCCTTTGCCACATAACTACACATACAACCAATCTGTTAATATATATGTTGGTGTAAAGCAATATATACTGGATGTGAAATGTTACAACTAATTAGTCTACACAGTTTAGAGGGGGAAAAAACAAACAAAGAAGAATAAAGTGGAAACAAACCCCTCAGACGGCTCGTCAGGAAACCCAACATGGTCACTAAATACAAAAAGAAGATCAACATGTGAGTCTGGAAATCATTCTATGTGGTTCAGAAAATGAATCCAATGAATACAGGTGCGCGCGCAGACGTTCACGGACACAAAGAGGCGCGCGCTCGACGAGACATCAGATTTTACTCTCTGGCTTTCTCTCTCTCTCTCTGACACACACACACACACACACACACACACACACACACACACCCCCCCCCCCCCACACACACACCCACCCACACACACCCCCCACACACACACACACACACACACACACACACACACACACACACACACACACACACACACCACACACACACACCTACTAAGGCATGCTACTCGGTTTTTACTGACATCGTGGGGATTCCTACACACGTCTACATCCCAGAATAACACGCGACCCAAACTCTTGAAATCTGCCTCTGAAAATACAATCATGAAGCACTTTCATCCCTAAAGCTTCCTGAATGACCCAAACCAAGAACGTCTGGGTTCTGGAACTCAATAAAAGGATGTATAAGTTCATACATAGATCTCTCTTCTGCTTTTGTTTCCTATGTTTGGTAAAATAGTCACAGCAGTAAATTGTCTGCGAAAATAAAAATAAATAGAAAAAAACATGAATAATACATGAATAATCATGATAAATGAATAATAATTAAAATAATGGTGGATAAAAGCTTAAGACCAAATGCAAAATTAAATTCATATACAAATCTATTAATCTCATGTTAAATAAATACAAAATATTACTTTTTATTTAAGTATTTTATATCAGCTTGAGTTATGCAGAACTGATCTGATCATTGCTATGGAAACGATCAGAAGCAAGACATTGCGGCTGAAGTCCAGTGAGGTCACTGATGAGGTCACTGATGAGGTCACTGATGAGGTCACTGATGAGGTCACTGATGAGGTCATAGATGACATTTACATCACAATAGATCAAAGAGGTTCTGATGCTTAAAAGATTGAATCTGAAAGCATCAGCCAGAAGAAGATACTGGAGCATCAGAGTAGAGCATCATCATTACACAGCTGTCATGTTTGGCCTAGCTAAAGCATTCGTCCTTTTCTCATCCCCCTCGGTTGGGGAATTGGCTACGCGGTAACCACCAGCATGCAGAAGCTCACGGACCAGTACTTTTCCGGGAAGGATTCGAAAGAAAACGCCGATCAACGTGGAGAGGAGGATTTGCTCTGGAAGGGTCCAACACCCACTTCCACAGAACAGACCGACCCGGAGGGGGAGGTTTGTCGTGAAGCGGGTGTGAGTGGGACCTCGGCCTCTATCCCTTCAAGGACCGACCGTACAGAGGACGACACCGCTGCCTCTGAGCAAACCTGCCCGGCTGGGGAGGTTTGCTCAGAGCAGACAACTGGTGTGGTGGACTCTGTACCAGACA